ATCATGACCCAGGGATTATTGCCTGCAACGGAGGAACTGCTGCCTACAGTTGAACAAAGATTTTGTGTTAGGCATCTCTACAACAACTTTAGGAAGAGATTTCCAGGAAAAAAACTAAAGGAAATTATATGGAAGGCATCCAAATCAACTTACTACCAAGCTTGGGAAAGAGAGATGAAAGTTATGAAACATATCAATGGAGAAGCATACAAGCACATGATGTCTACCCCTCCAAGGTTTTGGAGCAGATCATACTTCAAGACTCATAACAAATGCGATGCAGTTCTCAATAATATGTTAGAATCCTTTAATAGTTTTATTTTGGAGTCAAGGGCCAAGCCATTAATAACCATGGTGGAAGAAATTAGGATATACATGATGGAGAGATGGGCTACAAACAGGATGAGGTTTCAGAAATTGACAGATGTAGAAGTGTTGCCAAACATTATGAAAAAGGTTGAGAAAACAAGTTCATTCACAAACATGTGGCTTCCCAGGTAAAATTATTAAAACAAGCATTTTTTGTGTTAGAATGTCTGAATTTGGAATGTCCATTCTCATCTTAATTTGGAATGTCCATTTTTCTGTGTTAGGATGTCTGATGAGCATATGTTTGAAGTGAGGCATCTGGAAAATTCTGCTGAAAAATTCACTGTAAACTTGAAGGAAAAAATCTGTTCATGCAGAAGATGGGAGCTAACAGGCCTAGCATGTGTTCATTCACTTGCAGCAATCAAGAATAGGAACCATAGGATTCATGAATACATTCCTGATTATTACAGGAAATCTAGATATTTACAAGTGTACAAACCTGTCATATTCCCTGTTAATGGCTCAAATCTATGGGTTACAACTGAGTACCCTGATGTTATGCCACCCAAATTCAGGAAAATGCCTGGAAGGCCAAAGAAAAGGAGGAATTTAGAGCAAGGTGAGCTAGATGGTACTGATAAAAAGATGAGAAGAACAGGATTCATTATAAAGTGTAGCAGGTGTAAGCAGGTAGGTCACAACAAGCTTACTTGTAAGGTGTCTTCTACTAGTCAGACACATGTAGCTCAACCATCTGTACCACAAGCACCATCTGTACCACAAGCACCAGTGCCTTCTCAACCATCTCAAGCATCTGTACCAGTGCCTTCTCAACCATCTCAAGCATCTGTACCAATGCCTTCTCAACCATCTCAAGCATCTGTACCAGTGCCTTCTCAACCATCTCAAGCATCTGTACGAGTGGCATCATCTGTACCAGTGGCATCTCAAGCATCTAAGTCAGTTCCTGGTCAAGGTTCTCAGGCATCTCAATCTAAATCATCCAAAAAGTTGTCAGTTAGAAGGCCAAATGCCTCATTTGTCCCATCTCAAGCATCTAAGTCAGTTCCTGGTCAAGCTTCTCAACCATCTCAATCTAAATCATCCAAAAAGTTGTCAGTTCGAAGGCCAAATGCACCATTTGTCCCACCAGGTCCAACAACGAGGTTAAAGGCATCAATAACTGTTGTAGGTCCAACAACAAGAAGGACAACACCAACTAAAAGAGCAGCACCAAAGTGGAAACCTTAGTTTACTTTTATGTCTGTTTTGGATTAGGATTGGACCTATAGTTGTTATGTTGTTTTGTTAACTTGGAATATTAGAATTGGTTATGTTAAGTTGTTTTGATCATGTAATATCAAGAAGGACAAGTTTTTGTTTTGACCTGTAATATCAGGCTGTTTGGATTGGACCTGTAATATCAGGTTCTTTTGTATGCAACTTAGTGGTATCCACCACCTTATAATTATATGTTTGGATTGTTACAGTATGTTACATTATGTTTTACATTGATACAAAAATGCTACTAGTTTTACAGTACGTTACATTGATCAAAATGCTACATTGATACAAAAATTGCTACATTATGTTTTACAGTATGTTACATTGATCAAAATGCTACTAGTTCAAAAATTCAAGTTGATACAAAAATTCAAATTCATAATGATACCATGTTCAAATTGAGACTGTGTTACATATGAATCTATTACAACATCATCCAAATTACCACAACTAACACAATAAAGAAGAATCTTTTCCATTTTTTCTGAGAATTCTTCATCTTCTTCATTTCAATTTGTAACTCCATTATCTTATGTTTCAGCCCATCATTCCTTTCCTTTAGATGATGTATCTCCATCTTTGCTCCATCAAGCTCATTTTGCAGCTTCTCCAACCTATTATTCTGCTTCTTTATAAACTGATCCTTCTCATCCACCACATCATCAAAGAACCATTGAAAGTATCCACACCCAGATTCAGATGAACCCTGTAATGGTGACATCCAGATTCATCTCAGCTATTGCAGGAACTATCAGAACAAGAATATATGAAAACCCATTTTAATTTCATGCTTACCTTGTAATGACGACAACCCCAGAATTGCTTCCCAAAGTTTGTGACGGTGGTAGCCCTTCGAAGAACCGCAGATTCTCCACAACCACATATAGGTCTCCATCGCAACTTTCCATCTAAGCTTCCATCTCTATTGCAATCGTACGAAGACCGGATCTCTGATGATGCTTCCTTCATCATATTGAGGGAATTTCAAATTCAAAATGGGAAAATTGAGGATTTCTGGAACCCTAGAATTTGAGGATTTCTGGAACCAGCTTGAAGATGATAACATTCCATGTCACCTGCCATGCATGCAAACCAAACGTCCGTTTGGGCCTTTTGGACGGAAAGGATTCCTATGGTCCTTTTGAAAGAATTATAGGACCAGTTTGACACTTTTTTTAGATAAAGGACCAAAATGGACCTTGGGGTAAAGTTAAAGGACTAAAAAGGGTATTTTGCCATCTTCAAAGTAACACACTACAACATTTGTTGTCTCTGGCAACACTTTTTTAGGTAACATGTAGAAATTGTTGCCTTAAATTCATATAGGCAACGATTTACGATTGTTGTCAAAAATATGTTTGCAACCCTTGATAATCGTCGCCTAAAATACTTTTGGGGACGTTTATGGAGCGATACTCTTTTATTTTTTTGCCAACGGTTGTTAATTGTGCCCTTAACTGCTTTTGGGGACGATTTTATAGCGTTAAAATATTATTTCTTTAGCAATGTTTGAAAATTGTCCCCTAAAATATTTTTGGGGACATTTTTAGATTGTTACATTAGTTCTAATAAAAGGCTACATTTCTGAAATGTTGTATAAATTTTTTTAGAATTATCAAATTTTTGGTGGCAATCTTCCCTCCAAAACTTATACACTAAAAAACAAATATTTTTCTCTAAACATTATTAATATATATAAAAAAAAATATTTTTCTAACACAGGAATTTAAAAATAAAAAATTTCAATTAAACAGAAAATAAAAAATTATATATATATATATATATATATATATATATATATATATATATATATATATATATATATATATATATATATATATATATATATATATATATATATATATATATATATATATATATATATATATATATATATATATATATATATATATATATATATATATATATATATATATATATATATATATATATATATATATATATATATATATATATATATATATATATATATATATATATATATATATATATATTAGTCTAAAACTTATATATATTTCAATTAAACAGGAATTTTTCTAACACATTATTAATATTTCTCTAAAACTTATATATATATATATATTTAAAAAAATTTCATTAAACAGAAAATAAAAAATTTTCTAACACAGAAATTTAAAATATTTTTCATTACTAGTCCTCTCAATTATTGCCACGTCTTATTAAAAAGAATAGAAAATAAAAAAAAAAGAAAAAGAAACAGATATAAGGAAAACAAAGTATGGGTCACTGTTACTATACTTCCAAACATACGCAGTAAAACACATCTTCTTCAAAAATCTCAAACATCAGCAAAATTGTTTTTCAAATCCAACAAATTCGTCCTTCAAGAACGCCTCCATGAGCTTTCTTCTCGGAATCAGATGAAATTCTACTTAGAATTTTTAGTTTTCACAAATTAAAAGCTTTTTAATTATGGGTTTATCTAATTAACTGCAAAATCGATGAAATTCAGGTTCAAGAGAAAGCTCTACCAACATCTTCCATCTTCCATTGATACTCAGGTATACATATTATAAACTCCAAATCTGAGTTGTAGGATTCATTGATTATACGGATTTCTTGTATGCACGCATCTTGTTTGATAAAATGTCTATTTGGGTTTGTTTATATTGTCATATTAATATAGCTGGAGAACGACATGTATATTTTACAATTGATGATTTTGTGAGGAGGTCGCTGCTATAGACATGTCTGTCTTGGTGTTGTTGTTGTCGTTGATTATACGCGACAAATTAAGAAAAGTATACAATCCCAGTGAATGATGCATATAAAAATTTCGCGTGAGAACCATTTTCGCCAATGATCTTTGTCTATCTTCCGTATAAAAATCAGCAAGATATGCAAAACACTGAGCCAAGCAAATGGTGCTGCTTAATATCCAAAACACAGCACGGCGCATTTCAATCATTCGCCTAATATCCTTATTTGTGAACCTGCCCACCGTATGTGCCAAAAGGATAATTTTTTGTTTGAAAATTGCTGACTGGAAGAAGATGATATTGAGGAAGTTGTTAAGAGGGGTTGGAAATGTGATGAGAATTTATAATTGTAGTACCGTATTGCCTCATGTGCGAATGATCTTAGCAGATGGAACCACGTGAGAAACAAGCAATATAAAGATGAGCTGAAGCGGAATATGGAGGCGATGGATTTTTATAGAGAAAACGTGGATGCTGAATCAGGTCTTAGGTACCTTGAAGCACAAAATAATTATAACAAAGCTTTGATTAGAGAAGATACTTGATGGAAACAAAGGGCCAAAATACACTGGCTTCACGACGGGGATCATAATACCAAGTTTGTCCGTTTATCAGCTACGACGAGGAGGAAATTTAAAGGAATTAACATGCTGTGTAATGAGAATGAGGAGGAATTTAGAGAGCAACCATATCTCTGAAATTGCCAAGAAATATTTCGATAACTTACTCACTCCTAAGGTTGGAAATTACGAACCAGTGGCTTCCTGTATCAGAACTGTGATTTCCAACCAGGACAATGAAAACCTACTGAAGCCAATAACGAAAGAAGAAGTCTATGCAAGTGTTTTTGAAATGAACCCTGACAAATCCCTCGGACCTGATGGTTTCAACCCGATTTTTTCCATAACTACTGGGATGTCTGTGGTGATATAGTAGCAGCTGTTACATAGTGGCTTGATAGAGGCTATCTTCCAGCTTCTCTTAACGAGACAAATATTTACCTTATACCCAAATGCAACAAAGTCAACAAAGACAAATATTGGCCTATATCATGAGCATTTTCATTCTCCCAGATGGAGTAACTAATAAAATTGATCGAATGTTAAATTCATTTTGGTGGGGTGGTAATAATAACAATCGAGGTATAAGATGGATGGCATGGGATAAACTAGCTTGCTCAAAAGGAGAAGAAGGGCTGCGTTTTCGTGATTTTAAAGCATTTTACATGGCTATGGTGGCTAAGAAAACTTGGTTCCTACTTACTAAACCACAATTGCTCATGTCCCGTATTTTTAAAGCCAAGTATTATCCTAGAACCTCTCTAATGGATGCAAGACTTGGATAAAATCCTAGCTTTGTTTGGAAAAGTCTATGGAAAGCTAGGGAGGTGTTATCTCTAGGATATAGATGGAGCGTGGGGGATGGTAGACAGATAGAGATTATGAATGAACCATGGACAGGAGGTAAAAGGGAAGGGTGCATGATAGGTCCCCAATTGCAAGGTGCCTATAATATGACAGTCAACAATCTTTTGCTTCCAAACACCAACAATGGGATGTTCGCAAGATTGGTGAAATGTTTGACAGCCTCACCACGGAAGACATTATACATGTGCCGCTAGTAGTTGATGTTGAGGTGGATAAAATGATTTGGAGAGAAGAAACTCATGGAATGTATTCAGTACGGTCTGGTTACAGATTATGGAGGAATGCCCAGAAAATTTCTACTGAGATAGTGAAGGAAAGATGGAATAGCTTATGGAGTATCAAAGTTCCTCAGAGAGTGAAATGCCTTATTTGGATACGTACCTTGTCCTTTCTCATGCCCCCTCTGTAACGATACTGAAGAAGACGAATGGCACGTAATGTTCGACTACTTGACGACAAAACATAGTTGGCAGATTTCTGGACTGCTACCCTTGCTTGAACCCAGACTGCAGACCCACACTAACATCAAAGGCATTATCCTGGATATGTGCTACAAGGAGGATCGATTGATAGTGGGGAATTCACGATGCTGCTGGAAGCTATTTGGCAGAACCGTAACAACATGGCCTGGAATGAATGGTATATAGCCTAGAACAACATGGCCTGGAACAACGAAGAATCAGAGGCGACACATATTGGTATGACTGCAGCTCAAAGATGGAATGAATGGTATATAGCTCAGAATGTGCAGCATAATCTGGACAATAGCAACATGAACGATGATTGGATTCCTCCTCCTCGAGATAAACTTAAATGAAACATCGACATCAGATACAACATCAGTTCAGGCACCACAAATCGAGGTTGGATCGTCCATAACAGCTTTGGTAATTTCATTTACGCAGGTACGACTTGGAATACTGATATTCTATCTATTTTAGAAGCCGAGACTTTGGCCCTCAAGGAGACTATCCACAGAGCTATTATGTTACAATTGGAGAACGTTATCTTTAAAAGCGACAGTCAAAGTTTGATACACGTCATAAATTCAAATTACTGATTAGGTAGCATTGGCAATGTGTTTCTAGTACTGATTATGATTCAAGGTTTAATTTATGCACATGGTTTAATTTAATTTATCACAATTTGGACAAAGAGACTATTGCAAAGAAAATGGAGATAGACAAACTCTCGCAACCAAAAGTAATGAAAGATCATGCACATGGTGACAAAGAAGTTGTACAAGGTAAGTGATTTTTAAATTTTTCTATTATGCATATATTACATGAAATTATTCCTAATATCTTTTGGTGAATTTTTACTAAAATTAGAAACACCAAAGAAAAGAACTCAAGTGAAAGCTACAGTGAATAGAGAAAGAATTCAAAAGGTTGATGGAAAATTGGACAACCACATTGCTATGAAGAAAGTAGAGAGACCTAAGCTTTTAAAGTTTTTTTTGGAAAGGAGTGTCCAGGCAGGGTACGCTGTTATGGGAGAAACATAACTAAAACTTCCTTAAAGAGAAAGGCAGAGATTAATGCTTTGAAACAAGCCCACAGTGAAGAGGTCTCTACATTAAGGGACGAGTTTCAAGATAAGATTGATAGATTGCAAAATGCTTTTAAGACCGTAATACAACAATGCAATCCTCAAATTAATATAGAGTCAATTAAAGATTTGTTAGGATTATCTCATGGAGATGCTAATAGTTCCCCAAACGATATAAGACCGCAAATGCATTCATCTACATCAACTCATGCTCCATGTCATGGAAAGGTAACCATATATACCAATATTATTGATTTATATTTTTCTAATTATGTTATAGTATCAAAATGGTTGTTAATGTATGCAAAAATTTGCAAGTAGTGACAACACCTAGAATAAAATAAGTGGTTGAAATTGTTTAAGTAGTGACAACACCTAGAAGTGGCTGAAACTGTTTTATTTGTGCGAGCTTTCATTGATATTTCACAAACATACTTGCCTGTGATAAGATTATGGGACCCCCTTGTTTGATAACACTCACTATGTATGCTGTAAATTTATCCATATGATACTGAACACCAAAGAAGATACAACAAGTAAGAGTGTTCATCAGAGTTCATTTACTCCAAAAAATAAACATAAAAGGATAGCACAAGTTATACATACATACATACAGTTAAAGGCTATTGTAAGTCCTGAATAGTGAGCAAAAAACAGAATGGTTTTCATAATTGATTTATTTGCTAGTAAGCTCATGTCACCTATTACAGTTTAGAATGAAAATTCTCATCCATTAAAAACCTTCATAATTAATTCACATCCATGAGATGTGAAGAATATAAACAATGTGTTTTGCTCATTGGTTTAGTTTTTATTTGTGCGAGGTTTAATTCTTGTTGATGTCTTAATTGTCCTTTGGACCAAAAATACTTATGGTTAATGTGTTTTATTTTATTTTCTTATGCAGTAATGTATCAATGAAGATGTTGAAAAGGACGATATAAATGATGAAATTCAAGAGGACGACATAAATGATAAAATTCAAGAGGACGACCTAAATGATAAAATTCAAGAGGACGACGTAGATGACGAATTTCAAGAGGACGACATAGATCTAGATGATGAATTTCAAGAGGAGGATATAGATGGTGAATTTCAAGAGGACGACGTAGATGAAGAATTTATGGAGGATGACATATCTAACGAATTTCAAGAGGACGATCTGGATGCTTTACTCCTAGAAGACAAACTTGAATGAGTTGGATGATGTCTTTTTTTTGGCTTGTAGTTGAAAGCATTAAACTTGAAATATGATTTTTGTTCTTTTGCTGAACTATGTTTTTAGTTATTTTAATAGGGTCATACTTCAAAGTATTAAAAGTAATATTGTTACGTTAGGCATTTTGTGTACTCTATATACTATATCTTGAATTAAAGTTTGAACTTGATTTTATTGTATTACAACTTTTATGGATGTATGGTTTAAGTTATATAATCAATATTATTTTTGAAGCCAATTATTATTGACTATATTATTTTGATAATAATTGCAAAGTTGTATATTTTATGTGGACACTATAAAACAACAACCTATAAGCTATGGCTACACTTCAAAAACGATCTTCCTAATTCAGGTTTAAGGCAACGATTGTTAATTGTAGCCGAATTTGGCAACGCAACGCTTAAAAAACGTTGTCTCAGAGGCCGTAAATAATCGTCCCCTATTCCTTTACTATAGGCGACATTTTTCAAAAGCGTTCCCAAAAAACATAAAAAAACGTTGCCTCCAACAATAGGCAACGCTCGCACAGGAGACGCCTAGAAAACGTCCCCTATTGTTTTAGGCAACGATTTTCAGAGTTCTGGCAATGTTTTTCAATTGTTGCTGGAGAGCCTAAATGTTGTAGTGACATGTTCGTATTAATGAATGGTAGCCTGGCGAAGGAGTTTGAGGTGGAGAAAGGTTTGAGACAAGGTGATTCTCTCTCTCCATTTCTTTTTGTTTGGTAGCCGAAGGATTGGCGAGGCTAGTGAGAAAATCTATTGAAATAGGTGATTTTTGTGGTTTTGCTATAAATGAGAATTGTAGGGTGGATATTGTACAATTAGCATGTATGGGTGATTAAGTCGGTCTTGAGAGCTTTTGAGCTTGTTTTGGGTTGGGGCATTAATTACCATAAATGTAAATTGATTGGTATTAATGTTAGTAGCAATTTTATGGGAGCGGCGTCTTTTGTGTTAGCTTGTAAGGTAGAAGAGAGTAAATTCACGTTTCTTGGTATTCCAGTTGGTTTCAATCTGAGGTGTTCGTCGACTTGGACGCCTCTTTTGCATAAGTGAAGAGACGTTTTTCGAGTTGGAAAACCCGGTTTCTTAATCTTGGTGATAGGATCACTCTTTTGAAGTTGGTTCTCTACTCTTTAACTATTTTCACAATGTCCTTTTATAAGATGTCGGGTAAGGTTGCTAAAGAATTTACGAAAATTCAAAGCAACTTTTTGTGGGGGGTTACAGAGGATAAGGGGAAGATTCATTAGGTGAGTTGGAATAATATGTGTTTACCTTTGAAGAAGGATGGGCTCGGCATAAAAAAATTAGTGGATTTCAATTTAGCTCTTCTTAATAAGTGGAGATGGAGAATTCTTCAAGTTCAAGATTCTCTTTGGCACGATTTGTTGAAGGCTATATACGATGACATTTTTATGAAGGTGGTTTGTGGTGGCTATAGCAACAAAACTTCCTTGTATTATTCTTCATGGTGGAAGGACATAATTAAAATAAGGAGTGCAAATAGTAATGATTCCATAGTGTCTTTTTTCCGCTTTAATATTGGCAAAGGTGTTTCCACTCCTTTTTGGGAAGCTAGATGGGTGGAGAAAATGAGTTTGACAGAGGAATTTCTGATTTTGTATGAAGCCTCTTAATTGAGAAAGGTGTCGGTGGCGGGTATGGGGGTTGGAAGGAGGGGTGTGGAGTTAGAGGGATTTCGATTTAGGTGGAGGTGAATTGATGTATCCGATTTTAGGTTCTGGTTTAGCTTTCCTCCAAGCTAGTTTGGTTGGTCATGAGGTAGCTTTGGAGGAAAATTATAAAGTGGTTTGGAGCAATGAATCGGATGGGTTTTTTTTTTGTTTCTTCTTGTTATGATTTTTTCGAAAGTGATAGAATTCTGTTTAGTCCTTCGAATAGACATGATGTTGTCTTCGGCATGGTGTGGAAGAGGGAAGTCCCTTTTAAGATGAAGGCCTTCGGTTGGAGACTGTTAGTGAATAGACTTCCAACGAAGGACCTTTTGATGATTAGAGGTGTAGTTTTTCCGGTTGATTCTCAAAAGTGTGTTTTATATGGTATAGAAATGGAAAGTAGAGACCATACCTTTTTAAGTGCAATGTGAGATCATTTGGAAGGAAATTTCTTTATGGGTGGGTAAAACGGATGGATCGGAGGAGGAATGCTCATCTAGTTACTTGAATTGGTATTTATTTTGTAAAAAAATGACAATTAAAGAGGGGAAATTAGGTGTTGTTTGGCTTGCGACTTTGTGGACTTTATGGTTATTAAGGAATGAGATTTGTTTCCGAAATGACAGGTGGAATGTGAATAATATGGTATGGAGTATAAAGATTTTGGTTTGGAGGTGGTCTTTAATAGAAGATATTACTCATCTCAATTATAGTCTTTACGAATTTAGCAAAGATCATTTATCATTTTTATGTAGGTCTAATTGATTAGAAATCTCTTTCTTTTTTTTCGGGTTATTCCAAATTATATAAACAGGTTGGATGAACCCTTAGTTCTCCTTATTAATATATTCTTTCTTACAAAAAAAAGTAACATAATTGAAATATTAATAATAAAATAATTAATCTATATGAATAATTAGAGAGAAAAAATATAGTTATACTTTTTGTATAGAGAGTTTTAAATTATAAAATAAAGTATAGAGATATGAGTTTCTCATAGACTATATGTGAGTGCATGGCATGCGGGACCAAACTTACATTCTAATGTGTATCGTAAAAGTTTTTTGGTTTTATCGTAAAAGTTTTTTGGTTTTATCGTAACGTTGGTTCCTCTATTTTATATTTTTTTCGATTTTGGTCCTCTTATTTTAAAAATCACTATTTTAGTCCCCTTTTTAAGTTTTTTGTGTAATTTTTGTCCCCATATTTTACTTTCTTTCTACAATTTTAGTCTCTATTTTTGTTTATTTTTCAACAGAAAACTCAAAAAGGGAACCAAAATCGTGATTTTTAAAATAGAGAAACCAAAATATAAAATATATATAAAATAGAGGGACCAAAATTATAATTAAGTCAAGTATTTTTTCATTGTGTATTGTAGAGGTATTAGCATAGTTTATTTTATTTTCTTGAATATTAGCTTTGGCCAATTTATAAATTGTTTTAAAAAAAATAATGGGATTGATTGTGGCCTTAGATTTAAAGTATTTGAACTTTAATTGTATTTGAATTTTTTGTAAAAAATAATAATGAAAAAAGTGTACATGGTTATTTAAAAAACATTACATATTTGATACATAATAGATCAATAATATATAAATGTAATATGAAATAGTATTTTAAATTAATCTAAATTTTTATCATATATAATATCCTGGACTGGCCCGACAGTTTGACTGGGCCCAGTCTAAGAGATCTTCTTTGGCACGGCCCGCACGGCCATAACCCGGAATACCCACTACCTATCAGGCAATGTCAGTCATTTGCTCTCCCAGTTCAGCATTGGCCCAGGATGACCGAAGAGCATCCTCTTAGTCTTCCCGACATCAACATCGTGCAAGCCACCAAGAACCTACCAGAGAGATGCATGTAACTAACCTCTTCCTCGAAATCAACGGCTAGTTACGGACACATCTGCCCGGTTTGACCAAGTCTTGGAAGTTACTTGATTTCACGGACCCGCATATACAGGCGTGAAATAAATAACCAATGGCCACGCGCCAGGGATATTATATAAACCCTCACACCTGTGAGGGTCAGGTATCGAATACTGACCATTCACCACCTAATACTTTGCTTGTATCTCCTTGTTCCCACTCTTACTTGATCGTCGGAGTGCCTTGCAGGTACAACCCCCTTTTCTCCTCGACTTTACAGCCCGACTACAGATCATCTTCCGGCCACTTCTCTAGTTTTGATCAACCGGTAAGATCAGTGGTGTCGTCTGTGGTAAGCTGCTCTCCCCGTCTCTCTTTCCTCGAAACTTAAGATCAAAGTAACTTTTTCAAGATTCCTCTCACTAATCATGGCCGACCATGATGATCTTCATATGTCCGGAAAGACCATTCTTCCCCTGCTCAGAAAACCTACGGAAGTCAGGAACATCCTCACCTCGAGGACAACCTGGGCTTCCGGGATGGACATACCACATCTCTGGATTCCACTGACGTCTGACGCGGTAACGACCAGTTCTTGGACAAGGGACACCCCAAGAATCTCACCGACGAACTTCCAGAAGTCATGCAACTAGTTCCCATCCCTCCCAATGCCGACTCAGTCATAACGGCGCTGCTCGCCGCTATCAATCATACCAACTCCCTAATCCTACAACAAAATCAAAGGATAGGGGCCTGGGAGAACAGGCGATCAAGATCCCCTCCTCGGAGAACCCGACGAAGAAAATCCCCCAGTGTATCACCACCCAGGCGTGGCCCACCATCGTGAAAGGAGAGGCGCGATGTTTCTTTCTTCAAGAAGCACAACCGCACACCTCCTGTCAGAGATTAAGACTCCCCTTCATTCAAGAAGAGGAAATACAACAGGCAAATCGACTACGCTCGACTGCCTTCTTCCGAGCCAAAGCAGAAACGAAGGAGACCCTCCCCCTGATGATACTGTGAAGATCAACGAGGAAGAAACTATCAATCTCCTTCTCCATCTCCCACAGATGGCGAGGATGACGAACCCCGTGGCCCGCTATCACGGGAGATCACTGAAGCTTCTCTCC